GCGCCCCACAGCAGTGACGATGGCGGCGGATGACGCATTAATCGCGTGACATAATTAATCGATGACGAAATTCATTGCCAATGCTTTTAAAAGTCGATTTTATCGATTTTTATCGATTCGTTGTTGCAGCCCTAATTTGGATTAACTCTTTGTATCTCAGGGCGGACAGAGAGACGGCAGCGAGGATCACAGAGGAGATAGGAAACCTGATGAAGGAGATTGAGACGCTAGTTGAGGAGAAGAAAAAGGATTCCTCAGAAATGGCAAAAATTGTTCTGCCCCAAGAAGGTAACTGTTCCACCCAAGGTCCTTTAAAACACATCATCCCAGTACTGCATACTGGTGTTACGACCTGCTTTCCCTAGGTGGGGCGGAGCTGTATGATAATATTAAGGTGACCATGATATCCAGCCAGCTGAATGGATCTCAGCGGGTGCTGTTGGATGGGATGATCAGCGATGACGAATGCAGGGAGCTGCAACGCCTCTCCAACGTGAGTCATTGCAGAAGGAAGCTTTGCCTAGTTTTAGATCACCTCACATCATTCTAATATGTGACAGCATCTGATGTCATTTTTTCTAGGCTGCTGCCCTAAAAGGCGATGGTTACCGTGGGCAACCATCCCCACACACGCCCAATGAGATGTTTCAGGGAGTCACTGTCCTGGCAGCTGTCAAGGTCTGTAGTTCAACCGGGAAAATCTCATGAAACCGTTTTTATTCTTTCTACATTTCTACCTTTTCTCATTTCACAACCTCAAAAGTTTTAAACTGGGATTCATATAGATCAATTTGAAGTATTAGAATAGTTTGAAGTGGACAAATAAAATGGATTACTTTATTTTACACCTTGTGAAGAAAACAAAGAAAACTGAATGTCCTTTCTATTCTATTTTGCTCTAATACCCTTGATCATATCTATTTACAATACATTATGATATTAAAAAGTCATGTAATCTAGTTAGCAACATGTTCACCTGTTTGCAATTTAAATTTCTTTATAAATTTAGCTGTTTTAAGTAGGGGTGCACGATATAATCAGTCCCCTATCGGTATCGGCCTTAAAACTGAATATCGGACATCGGCCACCCCACCGATATTTAACCCAATATTTGATCAGTTTCTGAGTTTCTACTTCTTCTTCCTCAAAAACTTCTTTTTTACAGACTTAAAAACTTCTAAAGACGAGGGAAAAAATATTGATCCATTAAAATATCCCAATATCTTCATATGCTGATATATTGCCATTTAAAAACACCATATCAATCTCTTTTACTAATGAAATATTGCTATTTGTCATCGTTATGATACGAAATCCCCCGAAAATTCACCAAATGTT